TTCTACACTATGATATCGTATTCCCTTTTGCGTTCATCTTCAGCTATGCCGGCTGATTAGATTTGCACCAGTCGATAAACGCGGCATACGTGTAAATAGGCCTACAAATTTGACGATACACATCAAAAGTTTGAAGAACGTTCCAACCCCAATTTCACTGTGGATCAATTGTGGACTTTCTATGCTATCAAAGATTGCAGCCTGCAATCTCAGCTTCATCCAGATCGAGATCGGGGACGACTTGCCAATCAAGCTGACCGAAGTCGAACCAATTGGCCAATTCAATGGTAGTACAATTAATGATTTGCAATTTACCATGGACAAAATTGCGATGAAAAGTAAGAGGTCGTTTCCGTGATAACCTACTTTGATGACACATGAAATGTCCTCCCCTTTTCCCACAAAAAAAATGATCTGTGTTCTCACGCTCATTTGCAGACGCACAAAATGATGAGCTAGGAGGCCCGATCAATATAACGATTTCCGTTAGATTGGCGGACGCTGCGAAGGAAGGAGATAAGAAAGTTTTAACGGTAAATTATGGAACAAGGGAAAAACACTAGCAGCATTCACCACGGAGAGCCTGTGGAGCACCCATCATCGAACATGTTTTTAATGCAATGTTTTATGCTTTTTAGGAACACTTCCTAGGACTCATTCATTGAAATCAATGGGAATTCCAAACTGAATACTTGGTATTGACAGTCGGACATGTTAACCACCTGGATTAATCGAGGCAGGCTCAGAAGCGCGCTACGCTTCAATGTCACATCGCATTGAAGGAGCTCAAAATTCTCAGGCAGTTATTGATCCCCCGAATACGCAACCTCTTACCGCAGTCTATTACGACCGAGTTCGTGAAAGAATAAAACAGCTGCGTGGTGCTCTTTGTTGACCATCATGCATGAAACTTTACCGTACGTTTCGTATTTTGTGTGCTTGTATTGAATAAACAACATTGAAACGATACTTTTGCGGCGTCGATCAAGCTGTGGAGACTGTCTGCCCATCTTTCTGTAGTAGTTCGTGATCTCGGACCCACCCCGTCATCGTTCATTTTCTAATTTGTTCTTTAGTAGCCCCCAACTGTCCATGGCCCCCTGACTGGATGTACGTTTGTTGCATATCAACCAAATAGAAGCAAATCTGTTATACTTATTATTATCGTCACTAACTGCTTGAAAAAACAGCAAAACAATGAGAAAAACTGCAAGGGACAGTAAGGTGGTGACATGTACAGAAGTCCGTGACTCCTTAAATAGATGCAGTCATTGTGCTGGAATTAAAAGCTGATCCATTCTTCATTTAGATTGTCGACCGTTTCGCACTCCAATAACTTATAGGAGCTAACAAATCAAGCAGTCCAATTTGATTCTGAAGATAAATTTGGTTAATAACGAGACCGTAGCAGGCCTGTTTAGTCATCGTATGCATCCACGCTGACATGTGATCGATGCGTGCAAGAATTTAATCGATTCCTAGATGAAGCAAACGGATGAGGTGTTCTTGCGTTCATTCCTGCTCATTGCCACGCC